GGCCCGGAGGCCGCCGACTCCCCGCTCGGGCCTGGAAGGGAGCCCGGCCGCCTGGGCCGCGGCGGAGGCAGGCAGGGCAGGGCGCGCGCGAGCGCCCCCTAGGCGTGCATCTGCACCCTGCGCCGTGCGCCCGCGCGAGCCCGCGGCTCGACCCACGTGGGCTCCGGCTGTGTCCAGGACCCTGAGGTCACGCTCCAAGTTGTGCGCACGCCCTTAAATGTGTGCGTCCGGGTGGATTGCCCAATAAGCAAGGTAAGCAAAGGTTTATGCGTGCTTACTTACTGATCGGTAGTGAACCATTTCACATTTTTCATCACGCCAAAGTCTGCTTCTAGGTGGGGCTGGCATTTGTCTCTCTTCCACCCCACACCACCTTCCTACAGAATCAAAATCTCTTTTCATGGAGTAGCCAGTAAGCATACTGAGCATGTGCTTACTTGTGGCTGCTTTCCCTCTCACTGCCATCGAATCAATTTCTGACTCACAGTGACCCTATAGGGCAACTGCACGTTTCTCAGCAGTGCTTCTGTGCACGTGTTAATCTGTAATGCATAGTAGGCGCAAGTAAGCCTGTGCTTACCTTGCTTATTGGGTTTATCTACCCATTTGTGCGTGTGAACGCCTTGCTAGCGCCCATGGGCCCTGAGAGTGCCCTCTGACTGCGCACAGGTGTGTGTACTTGTGGGCCAAGGTTTCCTCCAGGTATGTGCATGCTTTTGTGCTGTTAATGTCTGTGTTAAATTAATGTCTCAGTAGGTGTGCACCTGTCCTCTGCAGGTGTGGCTGAGTGCTAGGTGTGGGCTTGCACATGGTTCCTGTTTGTTAGAGTACATAGTAGGAGCCTTGCCTTTTGGATTTGTGTATTTAGGAATGGTCTTGTGTTTCCGAGATGATGAGTTTAATCTTTGGCACCTTTCCCTCAAGAAGCAAAGCCTCAATTGCTCATCCATAACATCCAGCCCTCTGCTTCTAGGATTCTTCCGCTCTTCTGGAGGCTGGAGCAGTGAAGTGGTGGGTTCAGAAGGTGGCATCATCAGTTACCATGGCATCACCATCCTGCTCTCATTCATTGTCTCTAACCCCCAGCCTCCTGAAAGCTGTCCTCGGCCCTTCAGGGGGTTCTCACAGGTAGCAGAAATAGGTAAACAAGCTTTATCACTCAACAGATGAAGTTAACCGTGATGGCAAGGTGGGTGGGGAAGCCAGGGCAGCATAGGCAAGGGCATTCCCGATCAGGTAACTTCCTAGTAGGCAGGGAAGCAAGAACTTTATCAAAAATGTAGTACAATTCACCATGTGTTTTTTGGGTACTATGTGCCCAGTAGTATGGTTAGCCTTGAAACACCAAGCAGAATATATACACAACTTCTGACTTTTGTGAGTTCAAGAGGCCCCTTGGGCAGAAGGAACCAGGGTGTGTGTACGCCAGGGGCAGACCACAGACTCCATGGGAGGAAGTTGTACTGTGGACTCGGGATCCAATTGTTGCTGGTGTAGGGTGAGGTTGGAGATGGGATATGAATAAGTGGATGCAACCCCACTACCAACACCAAATCCTAATTCACCAACAGGTACCACCTTCTCCCAACTGTCCTGGGATACATGCTGGCACAGTGTGCCCAAGAGGTAAGAGGAAAGTGTTAGGAGAAACTGGATAAAGTTCCTCATGGTAAGATCTGGGAGAAGGAAGGGATGGGGTTTTCCATGACAGAGTCTTAAGAGCCTTAGGCTAAGGTGATACATATTTCTGATGAGGAATTGAAATTGTAGACAAATTCTGATTACAAATCACACAAGCCACAGGTGGTATGGCTTGGTCGAGAGACTGATTCCCCACTCCCCACCACCCTTTAGGACCAAGATGTCTGAATCACTAAATTCTTCAGCACTAGATGAAAGCCTCCAAGAGCCAAGAGCCCGCATCTGCCTTACTGACTGCTGTCCCCAGAACCTAGCACACACCTGGCAGAGGGACTCAAAATCAGGTGCTTACACTTCTCCCAGACGGAAGACAAGTATGATAGCCAGCACTTGGAATCAAAGGCAGCCTCAATGCCTTGTTACTGTTTTTAGACTACAAGGTAGAGGTCTTCTTTAACTTCAGTTATGTCCAGATTTGGAACCAACGGTCCCCACCCCACGAACCTACATTCTTAGATTCTTGCAGGATCTGCACCAAAAGACCAAGCCCTGGAAACCCTCCAGTCCCCTATCAAGTCACACACAGCCGCTCCTCTAGCCGGTGTACGCGACCACCAGAGGCTCTTTGTCTCCATGATCTTCCCTCTCCTGACTTGCATGGGGGGTGGAGAGCTACGGAAGAGTCCCCTCTAGGGGTGATGACAGGTAGGACAGACAGGCAGAAAACATAATTTGAAGTGTTTTTGTTTTTTTATATACAGAATACAGGAAAGTTTCTGTAAAGTCTAAAACATTACAATTACTATGTACATTGGTACTAGTTGTCGGGGGAAGAAGGGAGCCAGGGATGGGAGGAAGAGAAGCGGCAAGAGAACAAAAAAAGGGAGACAAAACAGGTTTACGACAAAACGTTTTTGCTACAATAGACAATTTGAAGAAAACGCTCTACCACATGTAGTACTGTACACAGTCTTTAAAAACATTGAAAAAATGTCATCACTAGATGTATTTACACAAAGTCCAAATACACTTTTCCTTATTTGAAATAAAATAGATGGACAGCCAGAAAAAAGAATTTGTTTCTCATTTGTCCGTAATACACAGTAGCTACCTGTAGTGCAACCGCTGCAGAAAGGGAAAGTATCTCGGAGGGTGGGGACCATGGAAGGAGGGTGGGTAGCGATCTTTATATTAAATAAAACAATGATATTGTATAGATTTTGCTGTATGAAAACTGTATTTTTTTCTTTTAATATAAAACTATTGTCACTGCCACAAAATAGAACAAGTTTCTGATTATTGTACAACGGCGGGGAGAGAGGGAGGGAGCAAGAGGTGGGCGGGGAAGGGGTTTGTGTCGGAGGAAGTGTCCAGACCAGTCTCCCCTCCCTGCCCTCAGCTCAGGTCTGCCGCTCTCCCATGAAATGTTGAGTACAAATATATGTGCAAATGCCCCCAGAACTTGAGAAAAGAAAAAGGATCTTTAAAAAACAGTCAAAGGTTTCTTCATGTCATGCAAAGATTGTAGTTGAAGGGTTTCTGGTGGAGTATAAAAAACCCGGGCTTGGTTTGTGTACATTTTTGCATTGCAAGAGTCTTGGGTTGGGCAAACAGGTAGGTGGCGGGGTGGCCGCCAGCCCTAGGGAATGGAGTTGGAGCGCAGCACAGGGCCCTGGTGGGGCTTGAGGGAGAACTTCTCGGCCAAGACTCCATCCTGCAGCAGGCCGGCATCGCCTTTGGGCTGTTTTGTTGCAAACTCAGTGATGCTGAAGACAAACTGCAGACAGCCCAGCTTGATGTAGCTGCCATGGTGCAGTAAGGCCGTGCCCTCCCAGCCGGCCCCACTGCCCCCAATCAAGCTCGAGCTGCTGGCTTTACAGTTGCAGGGCTTCCGGTGCGGGCCCTGGGCCTGGGAGCTCATCATGGCGGCCTCCTCACTTGGCTCTTCATCTTGTTTCTGGTGCCGGTGGCGCCCTGGCAAAGACAGGGATGGTCAAGGGAGAGGAATGAGAGCAGTCATCCCATGTGGGCCCCAGCCCCCCCCCAACCCATCGAGTTGCTGCATGACTAGGGTGAGGGATGCACAGAAGACCCCAACAGGGGTGTCTACGTGAGTGCACAGCAGTTGTGTCTCCATGGCCTTCTGGGGACCCT